CACAATTGATGTATGTATGGATTGTGATAAGAGTTGTATGAGCCCCTAATAAAATGATAAAAATAAATAAATAAAATAAACAGACTGATCAGAGACTGAGTTTAGGAACCAGCCGGCAAAAATCACAAGAAATTTTGATCGTGAACACTGTAGATTTGCAAGAGCTTAGAAATATATATATTTTTAATTTCCTAAGTATAGAAGCTAATATATTCAGTGAATTTGTCTGTTGTTTAAATTTCAGTGTAGTATTTCTAGGCAACTTTCCTTACATGCTAAGGGGTTGTAAAGTCACAGGGTGACTTTAATTTTACACTTGGGAGTATAAAATATGAGGGCATGATTAAAATTGGAAAATCTATGCTCTTGTACATTAAGCACCTAAAACATAAAAAACTTACTGGAACTAATTCCACTCTGAATTCCTTTTGTTCACTAGTGCTTTCAGGGCTATAAAAATGGGTATTCTTTCATTGTTAAAAACAAGGAAAAATTCCTACTGTGAGTTTCATTCATTCAGAGCATCAGTGAAAAGGTAATGTTAGGGGAGCACGCGGCTGGTCGGGCAGCTGGGCCGGCGGCGGTGGTGCAGTATGGCACAAAAGAAATATCTTCAAGCAAAATTAACCCAGTTTTAAAGGGAAGATAAAATTCAACTTTGGAAACCTCCATATACAGATGAAAATAAAGCAGTTAGTGAGGCGTTAAGGACCTTGCTAAGAAATACTCTGATAAGCTAGAATGTTGTGAAAATGAGGTGCAAAAAATAATAGAAGAAACATGGTGCAAAGCCATTGAACATGGGACAGGAAATGAAAATTTTAAAACAACAGGAATTGCTACAATTGAGGGATTTTTACCTCTAAGACTAAGAAAAGACAGGAAAAACTTGTTGGAGACCCGATTGCACATCACTGGCCGGGACCTGAGGTCCAAAATAGCTGAAACCTTTGGATTTCAAGAAAATTATATCAAAATTGTCATAAATAAGAAACAGCTTCTACTAGGTATGTTATGTCAAAGTATGCAGAATTTAACAATCAAGCCACTATAAATAAATGACTTTGTATTCCTTTCTTTCTTTCTTACTGTTGTTTACTCCAAAAATGTAGCGACCTTGCTTGTGTATAATCCAAAACCAGTTAATTAAAGTGTAAAGCAGAAAATAAAACAAAACAAAACAAGAAAAGGTAACGTTAACACGCCTGCTGCCCCACTCACTACACTGCTCTGACACCCCCTTCATTAAAATGGCCTTATATGACAGGTGAGTGCCTTTCTACCGGAGGAAAATAACATTCAAAAAAATGTGTGATGCCTACAGAAAAACCAGACCACCAATGATATGTTTCTTAAATATAATTTGATTTGTTAAAAAAACACAACAGCAGCTTAAACCCCAAATAGAAATTTTTTAACAAGCGGGGAAGGAGGATGGATATCCCATGATGGTTCCATATTAAAAACGTGATCATTTGCTCATAACAGAACTTTCAAAAGAAACGAGGGATTCTGTGAGAGGCGTGAACAACTGGCTCCCCATCTGAAGCCCAAGTGCTTTTCTGTGAGAACGCTTGAAGCAGAAACACATTGCCGGCCGTGCTCAAATCGGGCACGTGCCCACTGAACCCAGGCAGTCCAGAAAGAAAGCCTGATGCCCCACTATTAAACTTTCACTGATTTTTTTCCAGTTGATCCTGTGGTTTGTAATTGGACAGATGTCTTAGGATAGGTAGATAGAAAATGACAGTCTTACCTGATAACATCCATATTTGTACTTTTGTGTCCTTGGTAAGATTGTATTCGTGGAAACTGTAGAGTGAGGCAGTAGCAGAGACAGCCATCGGCAGTATCTGAGCACTGCATGCTGTCATGTGATTGAGTTCTAGTGTCTTGCAGGCATTTTATTCGAACAAAAATAAAACTTTGTAAGAAGTTCATTTAAAAAAGAAAATAATTTAAAAATAATCAGTGAACTCTGTTTTCATCACCTCATTCACGGTGGTCACGATATTAAGTCCCCAGTGGGGATGGAGCCATTCTTCACCGACGGAAATTCCAAGAAAAAGGAACTGTTTCCAATGACTTTGGAAGTCCATTAATTGAGTCATAATGTGTGTGTGGGGGTGGGGGTCGGGGGGACAGGGCGACCCTCCCTCACACTTCACTGACCTGGTTCATTGTCCTCTCTCTGTTCTCAGAAACTGGTGGAGAGTCGCCGGCAGCAGATCTTAAAGGACTTTGAAGAGCTCCACCGACGCCTGAATGAAGAGCAGCAGGCGCTGCTCTCACGACTGGAGGAAGAAGAACAGGATGTTCTGCAGCGACTCAGAGAAAACGCTGCTCAGCTCGGGGACAAGCGCCGGAACCTGGCCCATTTAGCTGCTGAGGTGGAGGGAAAGTGCTTGCAGTCGGGCTTCGAGATGCTTAAGGTTCGACCTTTGCCCCTGCATAGCTCCTTGGGTCCAGCAAAAACAGTATAGCTTTGCCCAGGCCTTTCTCACCGCCAGGGTTGCTCACCCTTCCACTCTGCTCCTCTAAACCCATCCCTTCTTCTTGACATGCTCAAAGGATCCTTTCCTCCTGAAAGGCTTCTCTGACTGCGCTTGTCCCTTTCTAATCCTTTCTCAGTTCTTACATCTTACCAGCAATTTTGTGCTTAATTTGTACCAAAGAAAAACTCACTCTTTTAAAAGGAGGGAAGTCTATTCTGAATTACTGAGAAACTATGCATTAAAATTTTAGTAACTAGAATTACCATACTTCTAAGTCTGGAACTTGATTAGGAGAAGCTACATCTAAAGGATACATGAAATTATGTGTAATAATAGATTACTTCTGATGTGCAAATGGTGCCTCTAACATAGTTGAAAATAATTTGTTTTCTGAAGCACATGAGCAGTGTTAGCATGCTCTAGGAAACATTTATTTTAGGGGTGAGAGTACCAGCATTAGAATCAGTGAGGCTTTATTGTACACTTTGTGCATGTTATATATTGCTTGGTATGTATTCTTGTGTTTTTTTTTCATGTATGTGTGCTTTGCTTTGCGCATTAAACTGGGTTATCTTATCGGGGCCAGAAAGTTGTCTTCTTTGTGTTCTGGACCCCAAGTGTCCTCACAGCGGGTCAGCACACCATTAACAATGTGTTTATGTACCAATATCAGGGGGGAGATATAAAGCCGCAGTAGGAAACTCTTAACTCACACCATGCCACCAGTTGGAACTATCAGCTGATCTCCACAGAGACGGTACTGGATACATAGTTGGTACTTGGGTACAGAAAACAGGGCAGGCACACAACCCTGTCCCTTGCCTCGAGATTTCATTGTCAGCCAAGATAACACACACACACACAACACACCCATTTGAATGTGCCATCACTTGCCAAGTTTCATGATGATCAACGTTGAAATTGGGGAGTAGGTGGGGTCCCTGTGGTGCTCTTCCCTTTGGATCATGACCCTTCATTTGTTCTACACCTTTTCTATCCTTAACCGTCTTTTATTATAAATGAGATAGGGCTTTGTTGATACTTCAGATCATTAGTTTTGTATTCAAATTCCACATTAGTTTATCCTTCACAAGCTACTTGATGCCCTATGCCTATACCACATTGAGAACTTTAATGGGCGAGGGTTGGATTTTTGCCTTTAAGGTCCTTGAATGCCAGGACCAATATTGCTTTTTTTTTCTCCTTCCCTCTAGGATGTCAAAAGTACCCTCGAAAAGTAAGTGATTCCCTCTATTTCTTGGAGTGGGTTAGGTCTCGGCAGTAGGGTCGGGAGGGGGGAAACCCATAGTATCTGAATGGGTTGTGGATGTGGGATCTTTAGCCCATGAAGCCAGTGAGAGGGTGAATCACTGGGCCTTCCTTGGAAAGGAATGTGGAGCGTGTGGAGGCAGACTCTTTTGTGTCCTATGGGGTGTCACTGTGTTCAAACTGTAAGGTGGTGAAGGATGTTCAACATGACGCATGAAATAGGAAACCACCCCCAGAGAATCCGGAGACTCAGTAAGGCTCTTTCCAGGGGACCATGTGTTGGTAAAACAAAGCAATAGGCAAGTGCTTTTATTCAGGGCATAGGGAGAAGGTGGGGATTTTAGTTGCTGCCTAAAGACCACACCAAATACTTCCTTGGCTGGAGCTATCCCCTGACCCTACCCTCTGTGCTTCCCCCTCCCAGATGTGAGAAAGCGAAGACCATGGTGGTGACTTCCGTATCCATACAGTTGGAGAAGAACTTTAGCAATTTCCCTCGGCAGTACTTTGCCCTGAGGAAGATCCTTAAACAGCTCATTGGTGAGTTGCTCCCCAAAGAAAACTAGTAGGGGGCAGGGGGGACCCTAGGCCCTATCTCAGCTGGGCTTCAGTTTCCCTGTCCCTTTCCATCTCCTCTCCCAACCCCGTCCTTACCCAGCTTTCATTGTCACCCTCTGTGGAGTCTCAGAAATAAGGGAGGCGTCACCTCTCATTCACATATTTTCCTACCCGGCCACCCAGAGAGCCGAGTCATTTGCCCCGTTGGTCAAGTAGAGCAGGTTGAGTGACCATGGGCTTTAGCATGTAACTCCACCAGAGTGCAGGGGCAGTGTTGTGTGTACAGGGAACAGAGTCAAGGCCAGTCTGTGCCTGGAAAGCAGACCCCGTGGCTCTCTGTCTTGCTGTGAAAACTCCGTTCTGGCCCTTCCCTGCACAGTGAGGCAGATGGTGTCAGAGGGTTTGTTGAGAGAAGGAGGCCAGAACCTGACCCGCCTGCCCTTACAGAGGCAGCAGGACATTAGGGTCAAGGTCAAAAGTGAAGCCCTGAATCCTGCTGCTGTGTTAGGAGATAGCCTGGATTGAGGAGGTTAACCCACCTGGGATATTCTGGGCCCTCTTAAGAGAACAGGTTCTGTGAAGGTGGGCTGGAAGAAGGAGGCAGGGCAATTAGCTATTCCTCTCCTCATCTAGCTCCCCACTCTGGCTTCTCCCGCCAGCGGACGTGACCCTGGACCCGGAGACTGCGCATCCTAACCTAGTCCTGTCAGAAGATCGGAAGAGTGTCAAATTTGTGGAGACGAGATTGCGGGATCTCCCTGACACACCACGGCGCTTCACCTTCTACCCTTGCGTCCTGGCCACGGAGGGTTTCACTTCAGGCCGACACTATTGGGAGGTGGAGGTGGGCGACAAGACCCACTGGGCAGTGGGTGTGTGTCAGGACTCTGTGAGCCGAAAGGGGGAGCTGACTCCGCTTCCTGAGACTGGCTACTGGAGGGTGCGCCTGTGGAACGGGGACAAATACGTGGCCACCACCACACCTTTTACGCCCTTGCACATCAAGGTGAAACCTAAGCAGGTGGGCATATTCCTAGACTATGAGGCTGGCACGCTGTCCTTTTACAACGTCACAGACCGCTCGCATATCTACACCTTCACTGACAGGTTTACTGAGAAACTGTGGCCCCTCTTCTACCCGGGCATCCGGGCTGGTCGGAAGAACGCTGCACCCCTCACCATCAGGCCTCCGACAGATTGGGAGTGACAGGAGAAGCACCCTGGTTTCTAGGGTATGAGGAATGGGCCGGGACGAGTGCACAGCTCACTGAGGGGTGTCTTGTCTAGTGTCCGCCGGGTTTTCTGTTGCACAGGGCTGGGCAGGGAAGGAAGGAAGAGGGGCTGTTGCAGAAACCAAGTCCATAGGAGGGAAATCTGCTTTCCCCACATGGAAGGAGGAAACAGCCCTTTCCATTCTTGTCTGATTTCCCCACACTGAAGGAGGAAACAGAGCCCTTTCTACACTTGGTGGGGTTTGCTGACCAGGAATACTCCTTTCTCAGGGAAGGTCAGAGGTTTATGTTCCTAGGATAACGATGAATGACGGTTATACTGCAGGTTCTACAAGTTGGGGAGTATTTCTGGGGCAGAGATTTGGCATTAAAGTGAGGGAAATTGGTGTCTTTGGTCATCTGTTCCGGGCTCAGGTATTAGTATGAGTAGGATTGTACATGAGTAGCCTTGTGCTGGGGGAACGGAGGAGAGGGGACTGAAGAGGAGAACCAGGCCCCTGTCCAGGCTTTCAGCAAAGCTGGCTTACTTGGCTGTCTCAAGGAAATTGGTCACCACCTTTGAGAGGGGAAGGGAAAAGACTGCAGAAAAGTGACTGTCACTGCTTTTCCAAACGAATTCGGAATAAAGAGGGTCAGATATTATAGGAAAGGTATTTCTAGGTAAACCCGGGTGGTAACAGTGGCTATTAATTAGTCACTGTCAAGTTGTCAGCCTTGTAACCCAGCTGAGGTGTCCTAAGTCAGATAATGTCTTTCTCACCCAGAGCATCAGTAGGAAAGTGTGGTTTGGGTGGGACAGACTAATAGATACACCTGGGGTTCCTGTTAAGAACTTGGCCCTTTCCCTATCAGACAATGCAAATCATTTTCTTAGGAAGCCAGATGTGTGTGCTGCAGGGTTGTCTGAAAGGTAAACTGATGCTGGCCAACCCAACCTCAAATGCCTTATATCTCTGCTTGGGATATGAAGAGTTGACAGAAGATTGGGACAAGAAACGAATCTGCTGAGGGTTAGTTTCAGCTGCTGCTGCTCCCACAACAGGACTGTCCACAATCTTCTCTGTGCCTTGATTCTGGTTTTTGTACTCTGGTTTGTTGAAACAATGCAGAGCTAAGGGCCCACTGAAGCGATCTGTCTTGTGTGGTAATTTGCAAACGGCCTGGTGTTGCCTTCTGGCCTAGTCCTGGAAATGTTGAAAATGCTTGTTCCCAGCTCTCACCCTCAGTGAAAGATCCAGGTTTGGGCTAGGCCTTAGGGACCTGCATTTCACACGCTTCCCAGGTGAGTCGAGATTCTTGTAAGACGACACCCTGCAGGTGAACTTCAATGACTGCCTTGTTTGACGCAGCTGGAGAACCTGGTGCTTGCTCCATGCTAGCAGGAGTCTGCGTAGAAAGCTGCCTGTAAGCCCTTGCCCCTTGGGACCTTCCATCTTAGCCCTGGCCGATTCCCAAAGGGCAGGACTGATTGCCCACGCCAATGTTAGGTTTTCAAGTGAGGCTGGAAACCACGGGGGCTTCAGGTTTACTGAACAGGGTAGAACTGTCCGTGTGGGTTGCTGAGACTGCTGGACTAGAAACCCTCGTCTTCCTCCGGCGCGGCGGCGGCTGGCCGTTTGGAGCTGCCGAGCTTGCAGGCAGCAGCCCCACACGTAACCACGCCGCAACCAGAGAGCGGTCTTGGTAAACGTCGGGAGTTGAAGACTCGCTCTCGGTGCCATCCTTTCTGGTCGGCGTGAGGAGAGATTCTCGCGGGCGTCTCGACCCGAGGAACCGCACGGTGGCGCCGCGGGCAGCAAGCCATCCCCAGGCGGCCAGCGCACCTCCCAGGATGCCTTGCGCGGACGCCCGCGTCGGGTAACGTAAGGGGCGGGGCCGAGCTGGAGCGAGAGCCGCTCAGTTTTCGGGGCCGGCGGAGGCAGCTGGCTCTGGCGTGAACGCGCACTACGTTCTCAGGAACCTGACAGCCAGGCACCGGTGCCGTTGTACTGCCGCTGGCAGAGCTCCGGGGCGAAGTCCCGCGACCCCAGGCTGGCGGGGAGCGTACGCGCCCACCTTCCTAGGCCCCCTGGGCCCTGCCTGGAAGAAGGCCCTCTGTCTTTATCCGGGGCCTGACCTGCACCCAGTGCCTGGGCTGTGAGTGCTCCTCCCCGGGGCCCTTCCTTTGGCGTGAGGCGGTTCCGCTCCCTTCCGGATTCAATTGTAATCGCACCTGCACCGGCTGAAGCCTGGGCGGGACGCCTACTCCCTCCCACTGGGGCGGGAAAGAAGGATGTATTCCACGGTAACAGACCTTAGTTATGTGGGCTCCTGGAAACGAATTCCTATCACGATTCAGCCCGCAAACACCAACAGATTTTGCAATGTGCCAGGTACTATGCTAGGTGCGTTCTTTTTATTAAAGTTGTAAGCTGTGGAAGTCTTCATGGAAGCCATTAAAAATAGAGTAGATGGCTGATTAATTCGGGCTGTGTTGAGTTATTTATACCGATGGGCTTCATGGTAAGTGTTGGGGGCGGGGGTTCCAGACACGGAGCTCGTGGTGATAAAGTTCCACAGGCAGTGGGTGGGTGTATTTCAGCTCTTAACTTCCTTTTCCTGTTTCTGCCTGAATGTCTGTCACCATCTCACCTCCGATGTCTTAACTATCCTGTGAATATTCCCACCAGGTAGGGCCATTCAGTAGCCTCCAACCCCTGGGGCCCACAGCTCCCATCTCCAGGACCCTGATGCCTGTGCTTCCCCAGTGCAGCGTCACGTCTGGACTGCAGGTGCCAGAGCTGTAGGCAAGGCCTCAGGCCTTCTTAGGACATTCCATGTTTAGGTAGTCCTGTCTGCTTACTGAGGGCTGGACAGACTGCCAGGGCCCCTGCTCTGTTGTCAAGTGAGGAGAAAATAGGACTCCCCTTCTCAGCCTCCTCATTTTATTGTCAGATTATAACGAGGAAAATGGTGCATGCCTGAATGAACAAAGTCTGAGGCACTGAGGACAATGTCTGTTTGCCCTAAGAGCAAAAGAATTGATACATTTGAATTACGGTAGTGGCAAAGAATATCGAAAGTACCATGGCCTGCCAGAACAAGTAAATCTGCCTTAGAGAAGGCACAGCCAGAATGTTCCTTACAAGCAAGATGATGAGACTGGAGCTCACGTATTTTGGACATGTTATTAGGAGAGACCACGGGAGCCCTGGTGGTGTCGTGGTTACACATTGGTCTGCAATCGGCATGGTTGGCAGTTCGAAACCAGCAGCAGCAGCTTGGGAGAAAGACTGGGCTTTCTACTCTCATTAATAGTTACAGTCTTGGAAACCCACAGAAGGTCGCTTTGAATCAACATTGACTTGATAGCACAAGAATTTTATTAGGGGAGACTAGCCCCTGGAAAAGGATATCATGGTAAAGTGGAGGGTCAGCAAGAAAGAAGACCCTCAATGAGATGGTTTGATGCATTGGCTGCAAGCATTGTCTCAAGTACAGCAGTTGTGAGGATGTTGTAAAACTGGAAAGTGTTTTGTTCTGTTGTACACGGGATCGCTGTAAGTCAGAGCCAACTCCACAAGACCCAACAGAACTACACCAAAGCCAGTCACGTGGGCAAGATGCCCTGATATCACAACCATATCTTGCTTTTATCTTTGTCCCTGCCTTGGTTTATTCACTGGCTTTATCCCAAATTATTGGTGAAAGATAACTACATGATGTACAAGTAATAAGCAGCTGAGTTTGACAAGAAGTCTGGGGATAGTGTCACCCTACATCCGCTGTGGGCACCAACAGGAATGGATAGCCTTATCTCAAAATACGTTTCCTGTGAAGGTGGACTCTTGGTGTCCTTGTCAACATTCCCTGGACTTTTTACAATCGTGGGATATGCAATATTTGTCCTTTTGCATTTTGGGTGTTTTTCACTCGGTAGAATGTCCTCTGGATTCATCCATTATTTTGAGGCGCTTCACAGATTCTTGAGCATCGCATAGTATTCCACGGGGTGTATGTACTTCTGTTTCTCCACTGGTTCGTTGATGGGCATTTGGGTTGTCCCCATCTCTTTGCTATTTAGATAATGCTGTAGTGAACATGGATGTACGTGTATCTGTTTGTGTCCTGGCTCATTTCTTTAGGATATACATCTAATTGTGGAATTGCTAGATCAAATTGTATTTAAAGGAAGTGCCACACCATTTAAATACAGTGCCACACCATTAAAGTGAAGCGCCAACCTTTAAAGGAAGTGCCACACCAGTGCACAGCGGTTTTACCATATTATAGTCCTCTCAGCAGTATGGGAGACTTTTGGTCTCTCCACACCCTTGCCAGCATTTGTTGTTCTATGTCTTACTGAATTTTGCTATTATTACTTGGGTCAGAGGATGTCTCATAGTTTGGATTACTAACCACAAGATCAGTGGTTCAAGCCCACCAGTCCCTAGTCCATATGTTTGAGAAAGATGAGGTTATTAGCAGCTTTCATAGAGAACTCAATGGGAAAATAAACCTTGTTCTAGATTCCTGGGTAGACACTTTCTAGTTAGTTTCTAGCCAACCTTCAGTGAAGTGCTCCGTGGACTAATCACTGCAATGACTTTAGACATCAACCTTATAGGGGACATGGCATCGCACCTAGGCCACATCAGAAGGGCCCAGCATGGAAACCCCACCTCCAAATTACTGCTAGCCCTTACACTTAAGACTGAGATACCCCGATGTGAGGAGAAACATACGATAGCCACCCCAAGACTATGGAATTGACCGTTCTTGGACCTTGGTTAGGATCCCTGACTTAGTGGGTGTCCAATAGGAGGGGTCCCAGAGCTACTATAGATTTACTATCTTGATGCCCTCCTTGCA